GGAACGGGAACGGGAACAGAGGTTAAAACCTTAACGGGACCAGGCGCTTCCTGGTCCCGGACCCGCAGGATATGGAAATCAGATGATGAGCGTCAGCGCCTGGCTTTTAAGGTGGGCTGGGAATGGGAAACAGGTGCACAGAATAAAGTCTTTAGTGAAAGGGCTGGAGCACCCTTAAGGAGGGGGAACTAATATCGTGACATTTATTCAGAATAGTTGGTATATGGGTTAGCACGGTGGTGTGGTGGTTAGCCTTGTGGTGGTGAGTTCAATTCTAGACCTGGGGTGCTGTCTGTGTGGAGTTTGCATGTTCTTCCTTTGTTCATTAGGGTTTTTCCAGGAGCTCTGGTTTCTCTCTACAGCGCAAAGACACACTGGTAGGTCAATTAGCTTAGGGGCAAATTGTCCCTGTTGTGAGAGTGTGTGTTTGTCTGTGTGTGCCCTGCAATTAACTGGTGTCTTGTCCATGGTGTACTCTGCCTTGGGCCCAATCCTTGTCTGGATAGGCTCTTAAATTATACTTAAGAAATCCATTTTTAGCTGCCCTACAGGTATCTAAGAAGACTACTTTTAGCTGCGCAGGGTATACAAAGAGATTTACCAGACAAACATGAGGCAGTTGCTTACAATGTATAAATTGCTTAAACAATGTGCAGCAGGTAAAAGCTCAAAGAAAATCTCACACATCCTTTTTTCTTTGATATGCTTACAGAGAGAAAATACATGTAAAATAAATAAGCAATGTCTGTAATATGTCTGTAGATTTTATTTTACTTTTTGTTTCATGTTAATTTTATTATTTTTATTTGCTTTGGCAACTTTGGCAATTGTACCCATCGGTTGTGCTAATAAAGCACCTTGAATTGAACTGAATTGGAAAAAGGGAATGGAAGAATATTTTTACAACACCTTAACACCTTTTTAAACCTCTCACCTCTCTCCTCTTGTGTTGCTGTCCCAGGTAACAATGCCTGTATCCCTCTCGTCTATCCCTTCACTGAAGACACCTCCAAGTTCTCAGACGCTGAGAGGTATTTAATCAGTGAGTACCCTTTGCACTGCTCTTTGTTTCCAGTGTACGTCTACTGAGAATTGCTTTTCTAAGATGACAGCCGAAGGCATTCAAACAAAGAGATTAATAATAATATCTTGCGTATTTCTTTTTCATTAAACGTAAGCGCCGCCTTTTAAAAATATTTATTTTTCAAGCCTTTTCAGGTCTTCCAGATCCATGGAGTGTGTGTGTTGGAGAAGGACGATGGATATCCCTTCCAATGCTGTTTTCATGAAAGCCAACATCTTTACTAAACTCTGTCTTTCTCATGTCTAATTAGAGGTTAAATTAATTTAAGCAGTTCTTAAAAAAACATGTTAGTGGGTTTGAGTCTGACACAGTGGTCTTTATTGTACCAAAGCTTCCATTCTTTGCAGTTTTCAAAAAATCCACTTGCATAGTCTTTGTAGTAAATTCAATTGTGCCAGACAAAGATAACCTTTGTTAACTAAAATGCGTATTAATCACAGCAAAATAATGTAGCAATTATATGACAGGCAGTACATGTAAATTACTAACCTACACATTATAATTCATGTCTTTCTTGTGATGCACATAGTTATTAAGTTGTACACCCACCTGCTCTGAAATGACCAAATTCCTGCCACTGTTTATTATTATAAACAGTGTTAGGTCACCTGTGTCATGGAGTACTGCAGTAGCACAAGAGGAGAATATGCAGTATGAACAGCTACAAACAGGAGGAAGCCATTTGGCCCATCAGGTCTGTTTGGAAGAAGTGAATTGATCTGAGGATCCCATTTCTTGAAACAAGCCAGGGTTTTGGCTTCAGCGACATGGCTGGGTAGCTTGTTCCATGCCCCCACAACTTAGTGATAATTGTATCTTTTGGTTTTGCTCACACTCCTGTTGAGATTACCACCGTTGCGCCTTTTCGGCCCTTATCGTCACTGCCCCCTTGGGTGACGGCACCGGGCTACCATGTCCAGTTGGCGTTCCTCTCAAGTGGCATCCTGGGTGGACATGGGAGACTACGCTGAAAGAAAATCTCCGAATGATCAGCCATTCAACGTCTGGGAGGAAACGTGGCTCACAAAGTTGATATCATGTCTTTTAAGGGACATCATTTAGGTGCTTCAGTTTTCCCATGCTGTGGTTGGAACGACTCTCCCTACTATGGTTATGTGTCCTTTCGGGTCAGAGGGGAAAGCTAGTGCACCTGCTGTAGCTCACCCAGTGCTTAGCTGGGTAGCAGCAGGACAGATGTGATGGGGTTCTGGGTGCTGGGTGTGCTGTATGTGGTATATGCATGTGGCTCCTGTCTGTGTCCATATGATGTGATCACCTGCTCTCTTGCCCCTCCCTGCAGACATGCAGAAGGTCATTATCGTCCTGCTGCCCCTCAGCCTGGTGCTCCTGGTTTTCGGGGGGATCTGCGGTCTTGTCAGCTCCCTGGCACGCAGCTGCCCCCTTCTCGTGGGTACGGGCGCCTACCTCCTCCTCTGCAGTAAGTCTTCGACGCTGGAAGGAGTTTCCCTGATTACAAGCATCGCCTGGGGCTTTGCTGATGCTGTGTGTCTGTTGGTAGCTGTTGCTGGGGCTGCGGTCAGCTTTGCTCAGTTGAAAGAGGTCCAGAAAGAAAGGATTGGGTCATACCTGGGAAGGTATTGGTGTGTTTGGTAGGTGTTTTATAACCTCTGATGCAACAAATCTGCTCTATTTAATATTCCCATTACCCTGGTGTACAGTATCTATATATCAGTCTGTCCAGCAGGAAACAGAGACTTTGATGCTGGAATGAAGTTAATTACAAGATTTAGAAAGCCTTTAATACTACTAATAATAAGTCTACATAAAAAAGTATAGTCTTTTTATCTTTTGAGTTGTAAAATCAATCTACTAGGAAAAAAATATTATCAGTTCATTCTAATTAACAATTCATTCTTATTAAATAATCCTTTTGCTATTTAAGCTTGAAGACAAATTGGCTTCAAGTTAATTTTCAAGTTCAAGTTAAGTTTGAGTCTGCCCCTCCCAAATGGTGTACAGAAAACGAATCCCTAAAAGCACCACACACTCATATCGTCCCTGAGGCTTTCGGGACCTCATGGCAGGACTTGTGACTTCCAGTAACTCACAGGCTTCGAGATTATTGAAGTTGTCCCGAATGTTGTTATGGAAACAACACCTTCTGGCCTGCACATGTGAGCCCTACTGCAAAGCAGGGGGTTCAGTGTGACGTTAAACACATTTGTCAGAGACAAGTAGAAACATTCTGGGTTTCATACCATCGCCATCATTGCTCCTATGAATAGTAGAAATGGTAATGTCAAAAATTGGAACCATGTTTTAGCCTTGCAATCAGTTTTAATTTGTTTTAAAAAAAGCTTCTTCCCGCATTCAAATCCTGAGCTGTGTCTTGATGGACTAGAAGAGCTTTTAACTGCATTTAATTTGTTTTTGTTTTGATGGCACTGATTTGCAAATGGAGTTCTAAATTATATAAATAAAGGTGTCTTTAAAAGCTGATGGTATTTTTGGCAGATGGTCCTCATCTGCTGTGTCTAGCAATAGAACTACAGTATATGTCAGCAGGGCAGCGAAATGCTATGACTTCTTTATATCCTTCTCAACATTTTTGGCATGATTGAAACCTGTACGGATGATTTTAAAAACATCTCAGAACACCTACATCTGATATGACCTTTTGTAACACAACAAAATATATATTTGCAAACTGTATCACATAAGGCCATTAGGCAGACTCTGGAGAGCACAAATAGACTCTGGATGAGACACTTGAGATGCTACCCCTGTTCCCCTGCATGTATTTTTTAAGCTTGAAAGATAACATTTAAGGACTGAGATCTGCCATTCCATCCATCCATTTTCAAGTGCTTCTTCCAGTTTGGGGTCATGGGAAAGCTGGAGCCTATCCCAGCAAGCAACAGCCACAAGACAGGGTGTACCCTGGACGGGATGCCAGTCCATCAGAGAGCACACACACACACACACACACACACACACACACACACACACCTGGGCCGATTTTCCCAAAAGCCAATTAACCTGCCAGTATGGTTTTGGACTGTGGGAGGAAACTGGAGCAGAGGAAACCCTTGTGAACGAGTGGAGAACATACAAACTCCACCCTTGGTGCAGGTGACCTTATAACTGTATTAGCACAATGGATGTGAGCAGACTGAGATGTAACCCTTTTATCCAGGGCAGTTGCAGCCTGGCCACACGGATAAGGCCAGTGGGTTTAAGGGGGTGCAGCTGCCAAGGGGGGAATACGGAATGATTAACACTCAGAAAGGAGCGTCGATTTCCTGTCTATTTACATAACTAAGCATGGTGAGCTGCAGCTTCAAACTGCACTTATGGACTCAAAACATGCATGTCGAAACGCATAGCTAGGTTCAAATAGGACTAACCTCGAACAGTTTTAAACTCACAACAGGGCCTTCTCCGGGAGACTTCTGGCGGATCGGTTGAGCATGCTTCTGTTTTTCATGCTGAGTGGCAATGGGAAAAAATGATTGACAGGGCATTTGCAGGGGAGGCAAATTAGCTTCGCACAAAGCTGAGACAGAAAAAAAGAAAATGAGGAATGTCTGAAATCTAAAAGAGACAGGTAAAAGCAAGTATTGTACCAAATGAATTTCTGGCACGCCTTTTTTCAGTATATTGACTTGAATGGGAATTACAGAGTTACACAGACTGTATTAATGGGCACTAAAGAGCAGCTTTGCCTGAGGCAGTCAAAGCCTTTAAAACTGTTGAAATACTTGTCTAAAACATCAGTTTTCTTTTCTCCTGTAGCAGAGAAGATATCGCTATCTTGAGGTTTTTAGGAATAAAATTCTTAGGGGTTTCTAGGGCAGAGTGGTGGCATTGTGGCTAAGGATCTGCACCTGTGGCTGGAAGGTTGCTGGTTCAAATCCTGAGGCTGGCAGAGGAATCCTACTCTGTTGGGCTCCAGAGCAAGGCCCTTAAACCCAGCTGCTTCAGGGGTGCTGTACAATGGCTGACCCTGCACTCTGACCCCAAGCTTGTCTCCCTGTCTGTGTGTCTCATGGAGAGCAGGCTGGAGTATGTGAAAAGACAAATTCCTAATGCAAGAAATTGTATGTGGCCAATAAAATGATCTTCTCTGCTAACACCAGCTTTTATTGTTATTTCTCCCGTGTTTGTTATTATTACCATCTGTTGGAGTGATTTTTCCGCTTTAACAACATTTGCAAATTTGTTGCTTATTCTTATCCAGGGCTCTGAGCTCATGGCCATTTACAATGCCAGTCGTAGCGCCAGCAGCATGATTATTGTTAAAAGCCCATCTCTCATTCCCAATGTGATGAAAACTGCCACCTTCATTTGTTCATTTTATTCCTGCTCACCCTTTGGGCTTCAGTTAGCTGAACAGCAGCTTAATATTAAGCAGCAAGTGGAAACACAAAGGCTAAGTCATATTTTTCATTAAAAAAGGCAGTATGAAGCAAAAAGAAGAAAATGGGCTAATTGTAATCTATTCCCCACAGTAACAACTTAAAGAACAAGTCTTCTAAATAGATTTCAAGATGAATATGACATTTGAACAAAAAAATCAATCTTTGTGTAAAGATGTCTTTCCAAAGATTGCGCAGGGTAAAAAATCACTTCTAAAGGTAACAAACTGAAGAAGGGTTGTTCTTTTACACTGAATTAAGTGCTATTAATTCATATATGATTGCATGCCAATTCATCTCAATTGCATTTCAATGTTTAGAAGATATTTTGACCAGAATACTGTTAACTGTTGTTTGCTCCTTGTTTTGGAAGCACATCTTTCATGCCTAGACCTTTCAAAGCCCCCTGACAGCTGGGACTGAAGCTCAGAGATGCTACTGTTAACAGAAATTAAGTATTATAATTCAGTCAGTGAGAAGCAGAACATGGGACTTCTTAATTCAGCTTGACACTGTACCAGAACAGACTAAATACCATGATTAGATTCTCTTATTATGATATTAAAATAAAGAGATTAGGAATGCAGACACTTTTGGTGCCACGTAGACTTGAAAGCTCTGTAATAAGCAAGTCAGGTGCTCTGTGTTAACAGAGGACTGGGATCAGAATTCAATGAACAAGTGAAATGTGCCCTTTAAGTGTCATACAGGACAATATTTTGTTTGTACCAGCTAACAAAAGAATCTTTATGCTATAGACAGAAGCCCACGTAAGTTAATAAGGAGCAAATGAGATGTGTGAACATCATTCATTTAGAATTTGTTTCATTCGCTGAACATATTAAAGTATGAACCAAACCCAGTACACTTTCTAGTAATGTGTTACTCACGATGGTTTTACTTATGTTGTACTGTGTATTAAAGAACCCGTTATAGGATATTAATTAATCATTACATTTTCTATAATAATGCAGTAATGAGGGGAGCATTTTGTATCAGTTTTTTTTATTACTGTAATTTAGTAACATCAGCATTGTTTTAGTATTTCATCTCATTTTTATTTCATGCCTATACAATATTAAAACATTTTAAAGGAGCACATTATACATTCTATATATTATATGTAACATACTATATAATAATGTTCTGATGTATATTAAACTCCAAAATGTTTCTTGCTGGACAGCATGGTGCTCCAGTGCTGAGAATTGCTGCCTATAGCTATGGGATCCAGGGTTCAATAAAGGACCTGGGGTTTGATCTGTGCGCAGTTTGTATGTCCTCCTTGTATTTGTGTGGGTTTACTCCGGGTGCTCGGGTTTCCTCCCTCAGTCCAAAGACATACTGGTAGGTAAATTGGTATTTGGGAAAACTGGCCCAGGTGTGTGCGTGTCTGTGTTTGTGTGTGCCCTGTGATGGACTGGCGTTCAGGGTACGCCCTGCCTTGCACCCGTTGCTTGCTGGGATAGGCTCCGGCTCCCCTGCGACCCTGAATCGGATGGAGTGGTTAGGAGATGGATGGATGGCTGGATGTTTTTTGCTGTTGGGCAACACAAACGCAGCTTGACCTATGCTTGCAACTCCTCACGACAAAGGTCTTGACCCCTCCCTGAACTCCACCACGGCGATGTGTACGACCCAGTAATGTTGACAGAGTGGGGACTCCTTTCCGTGCTCAATCCCACTGTCCCTCTGTGTCCCTGCAGGCGCGATCACCCTGACGGGAGTGAGTGTGTACATTAGCTACTCCCACATGGCCCTGGAGGAAATTGTGCGCACAGTGGGGCCGGCACGCATGACCCATGTCCACATCTCCTTCGGCTGGTCCATGGGCTTGGCCTGGCTCTCCTTTTCCCTGGAGGTCATCACGGGAGTGCTTCTGTTCCTGGGAGCCAGGATCACCTACCTGCAGAGCAGACAGGAGTTGGCGCCGGCCATCTCATTAGCCTAGAATGGGTGGGGCCACACCCACCTCGGGTTTGCATTCAGTCCGATAAAGCAGAGCTTATCTGGAGGCTGTTCATGCAGTGAGCCAGAGTGGGAGGCTGCTCTCTTCTTTGGCTGAAACAGCCAGGCTGATTGTTTTTCTGCACTCGGCACACCAGGGGAGCATTTTCCTTGTCTCAGTGCTTATTTACTGCCATTGAACCTGCATTTCAGCCATACAAAAACAGGACTTAAACCAGTTGGTCATGATGTAGGGCTGCATTCTTTCATTGCTTTTGTCTCAGGGAATGTATCAGAAGTAGCATGAAATATGCAAATGATCCCCTAAACCTTCAGCAGCTGCAGCTTTTTTTTGAATGGATGTGTGCTGTCCCTACTGTTAGCAAGATAGTATGCAGAGTATTTTTCTAAAAACAAAAAAATATATAACTTCTATTAAAATTATGATTAACACCTCTACAGTAAGGGTATGGTACACTGTTATGAATTCCATGACTGTAGGGCTGTATGAAAAGACATTTTCGGGCGGCTGTGTAGCTTCAGTGCTATTTTATCCAAAGATAAGCTTTTTGCTTGTGGATAACATGCAACCATTCTGCAATTCTGATGCAATTCTTAAAGTCTTACATTGCTTTTGTGTCTTCGGCCACTGTTGATTCAAGTGCTTGACAGGGTTACAGTTTGGTGTTAAAAATCTGTGTACAGCTGGGAGCGGCAAATGCCTTTCAAGCTCTGTCCTGTTTGGAGTTATGTCCGCTGAACTTTTCCTGCTTTTCTCCCAGCTTCTCTTACTGATACTTTCTCCTCCTAGCTAAGCATCCATGAACGTGTATTACAAATAGTTTACTTCTAGGCTATGAGCTAAAACACTTCTATTGATTTTGTTCATAGCTGCAGAAGTTCCCAATACACTTTGATCCTTAAAATGGCTCCAGATGTCAAAGAACACCACTAATTTGTCATTCAGACAAGAGCAATGCTATGCCTGGTGTAGTTGCACCATAAACACTACACCATCTTTAAAAAAAAAAAAAAATAAGCCATTGCCAAATAGCTGTAATGTTCAATATTTAATAACACTACTGCCAGAATAATTCACGTTCACTATTCCTTTCTCCTAGTATCATTAGAAGTCTTTCTGCTAATGTGAAGAGGAGAGTTGAAGTGTCAGATTACACTGACTAATTAACTGGATTGGGGTGTCATAATCGGCATTAATAATTAATTCCTAATTAAAACTAGCTTGTACATTGTAGGGATTAATGCTCTTACCTCGATTTGACTGCACTTTATAATATGATGGGAAGCCAGTGATTTAATTATGCAAATACAGCTAGAAAGAGGTACATTGTATTTTCTCTTTATTAAACATTCACCTTTGAAACATTAATTGTTTTTTTTATGTTTAGAAACTGAAATAAGCAGGGATTTGGAATAAAAGGTGCCATCTGAGATTTCAGAAGCAGAGGATTCCTTGACTTTTCAAAACTCTTCAACTGTCAGATTGGTGTTGGTCAGAAGATTATTCATTATTTGGTATGTTGCCAGATGTGGAGAAGTTGTTCACATTTCCCAGCCCATCCTTAGTCTCGCCTAATATTCATGATCAGAGAAGAATCTTGAAAGTTTTTTAAAGGCAAAACTCAGTTACATGTTAGCATGTCTGTATTACATCAAATTTAAGAAATATAAAAATGTCTTTCACTCTCTAGCACTGCAGAATCAGACTGCTCCATTAAAATGTATAACGCTTGGTCACCCAGCAGTGTAGTCATCTTACATTTGCATCAACTGTTACTGATTTAGCAACAAGAGAAAAGAACAGGTAAGACTTTATGTTCTGGACATTGTTATGAGAAATGCCTACGTGATTAAGTTTAGCTCTGGGAGCTAAAAAGCATGTGAAACCTGTGGAGATGTAGATGATAACAGCAAATCAGTCATTTCTTGGGCATACCAGAAACAACGCTTTCCATATCAGGCTCAATGTGTTCTGTGGGGAGCACACAGCTAGCACCTAACCTCATTTTGTCTTGTAATGTGTGTGTTTGTGTCAGCGCAGCTGGTGCTATCAGACTATGAGGGTTCCTTTGTAAAATGAGATACTAATGTAATGTACTGTTTAGCTGAAACTGAACTAAACAATTTTCTTCTGCTGATGCATGTGGTCCTGTTATGATTACTTTTCTCTTCATCTTTCTGTAGCTGTTGGTCTTTCTATCTAGGAATACTAATCAAAAATAGGCTGTTTTTAAAACCAGACAGAAATCTCAAAATCAGTGGAAGTGACTAAGCATTACAGGATAGTTTACTAATAATTAGTCATCAAAAGGCAAGAAAGTAGAACTGTCTAAAGAGACTTATAATTAGGTTTGTGTAAAGCTCTGCATCTAATACTACATCAGGTTGAGTGGTATTATTATCAAGGCAAAGAATAATAATAATAATAAACCATTTTCATTCCAAGGGGATAACAAAACACAATTGTACACTAGAAGCACAGCTACACACTATCTAGAAAACAGTGAGACATTTCTTCACCAGATGAATTAAGGAGAGCTTTGATTAACACCTCATTCAAAGGGTGGTTTGACACTTACAGCACAGTGTCTCCCGTTATTATACTGGGGCATCAATTTCCCAACTTCACTTGCTGCAGCAAATTGTTTCTCACACCCCATTACTGACAGGCCTTGCTTAGCGTTTGTGACTTGACAAGATCAGACTACAAGGTTGTAATACTGCTAATAAGGCTGATATGATCACTTTATTGGCAACATATAATTTCTAGTATTAGGAATTTGTCTTTTCACATACCTCAACTTGTCCTCCATGAGACACACAGACAGGAAGAGAGAAGCTTGGGGTCAGAGTGCAGGGTCAGCCATTTTATACGGCGCCCCTGGAGTAGTTGGGGTTAAGGGCCTTGCTCGGGGCCCAACGGTGGGATTCCTCTGCCAGCCGTAGGATACGAACCAGCAACTTTCCAGCCACAGGCGCAGATCCTGAGCCACAGAGCCACTGCCCCACCACCACCCCGTATGGTGGTATACCTTGATTTATTATGTAGTGAGCAGTATTAAAGGTTTCTTGAGACCATTAAGCTTTCTGGTATTGTGGAACTGGTTAATTAGTATTCATGTGTCTAACATCCTTCTGCTCTTGCAGGGTTGTATCAAAGCCTGAATGGAATTTATTGTGGCATTCATATAAAAAATACATTTTTTAATAATTGAATATCTATGGAACACAACTGAGATTGATATACAATGGCAAACATTCTTGACATACCAAAGTGCTTTTTATAAACCTTGGACTGAAAAAGCTCCTTTCCTCTTGTGTCTTTGATTCCTGCTGAGTCCTTCACCTACCTTTCAGCAAGATATCCGGGAATATCCAGGCTATTTTATGGATCTTGCATTCCAAGGGATTTATTTGCAGGCTTCTGTTAAAAAAACCCCACAGTCCCACACTTTACAGTTGACCTCCAAGGGCTTTGCCAGGCAGCTCTTTCCAAATGTAAGCAGGTAGGTAATGAAGCATTACCAGGTGAAAAAGGTTAATCCTGGCAAGGCTGCGGTGCAGCGCATTGCTTATGAATTAAACACAGAGATTGTGGTAAACATTTATGAGGCACCCCCTTTTGTGCAGTCGCCATAGAAACAAGCATCTCACGGGCTGACATTGTGCACACTGAACTGCCCAAGGCTCCTGAGACATGAGATGAGCTCTCCCTAATCAGGGAATAAGCTGCCAGTTGCCAAGGTGAAAGGAGAGAGAGAAACTGCCCATGGTACAGGGGACTTTGCTGATCTTCCACATTTAATTTCAGACCCAGAAATAATGATATTTTGCTTTTTAAACGCAAATTAAAAACAGTGTGTTTTTTTTCACGTGTTGGGTACCTTATCGGGCACGTGGCTGTCGATGTCTTCTCTCTCATTCCCCCGTGCTCACAGACCTGGACTAGGCGGAGTACCGAAGTGCTGAACTGAAGAGCACAGCTCTGCACTGGCCCGTTCCCCTGTTGCACACAAGCACGAGCAGTTACTCCTGGAGAAGGCGGTGGCTGTTGAACATCTGCAATATGAGCAATGAAAAACCGCACCTGCACGCGGAATTGAATCTGCATGGAGCCTTGTTATTTACGGACTGGCCCTTCTGATAGAAACGTGTGGCACAAAAGCAAGAAGAAGCAGCAGAAGCAGCAAAAGAAGCACAAGCACAGCACATGTGCCAACTCGATTGGTACCTAGTGGGCAAGGAAATGATGTGGGAAGAAAGTTTGGCTGTGCTCAGATGTCTTTGTTCTGCTGTAAGAACAGTGGGTATTTACATTTGACACAAAAACATTATATTGAAGACTTTCAAGTAGGTAGCTGCGTCTGAATGCGTAAGCTGCAAAGAAACAGGTAAAGGTTCACTCCATGCTGAAAGGAAAAGAAAAGAGGAAGGCTGAAGCACGATGTTTCTTTCTTTACCTTCAGCATGAAATGAACCTTTACCTGTTCTTTCACAAATATTATGGTAATGAGTTGAGGTCACCTGTGACTTCATTGATAATTAATTATTAAATCAGATGTTTAATTGATCTCTATTAATTAAATGGAAGGTTTTTTTGGTCAAACTAGCTATATCATGCTTTTGAACCCGAATAAGGGAGATACAGCTGTCTGGGGCGGCGTACTATGAACAGATGAAAAGCTGAATAAAAAGCACAAAAGTAGGAATGGATTATAGGTAACCAGCTACAGCTTTAATAAACTTTACACTGCAGAGGACTAGACCTGGAATCAGGCTTGTTTTACTCAACAATGTCTATTAAGTGCAGGTTCAGGTCACGCCAACCATGATAAAGGAGAGTCTGGAACCACTTAATGCAATACACACGCTGGGGGTTTGTGGGTCTTGGGATGAGTGTCACCTTCACACAGACCTGAAATCGAACAGCTCCTGTGTGTGGTACATTAGTCACACTCCTTCGAATCTTTGGAAAACATTTTATTTCATTTTAGGTTTGCGGATCAGCTCCTGAAGCTGCGAGCGTGTGTCACCCTCTGTCCTTCTGTTTGCGTCTTCATCGTTTTTTTAAATGAAACCTCCTGCAGTGTGGCACGACGGCCCGTTGAGTGCAATTTTCCACAGGTGCATGAAAAGGCTTTGTGCGCAGAATTACCTAGCAGGTGGAGCCTTACATCGTGTCAGGGAGACACAGAAAAGTGCTGTTCTACAAGCATGGTAAACCCTCAGCCTCAGGTTTTATTATAAAAGGGAAATTACACCATGTTCCCGTGAATCCCATTAACTCTACAGGATATTTGCTCAACCTATAGGTGCAATTATAGTGAATCTATTTACTTGGTGAAAGCGTAATTGACTGCACAGAAATGCATTTTCACTTGAATATGTTATGGTCTCTGCTAGCTAGCCACTCCACTGGATAATGTTCCAAGCCTGAGCTCGGAGGTATGTCATTAATGTTCTTTTTGTTAGCACAGATATCATGTCTGAGGCCCTTCAGAGCAGAGTAGCTTAGAAAGCCATGTCAATACCCACAGAAGATGAAGGGTTAAAGGCATTATGTAGTGGAATTTATTTCAGTGTAAGAGGGCAGCTGAAAGGTACTATTTCATACAATTCTAATGTGGCAACTGAAGAAGAAGCAGTTGAGAGATCAAAGCTGGCTGGGAGAGGGATACAGGAAGAGAGGGAGAGATCTTTGTGAACTGCAGGATGGGTGAGCCACACTCCAGGTGACAGACTCATCACTGGCTGAAGAGACTGTGGCAGCACTGTCCTTGCTCCAGCTAATGAGATGACACAGTGAAAATTCCACACTCTGGGGCTGCCTGCTGTCACCCCTGTGGCTTTTATCAAAAGAACAGGTATCCCTTCACAGCCAGCTTTCACTAACCTTTAATCAGACAGCCACTGACTTGCACTCCGCCACTAGATCATGAGATGAATTATCTTATTTATGCGGGGATCACAGTTACTGTGAATTGTAACAATTATGAAATAAGTTTAGTTCAGACTCCGGTAAGGCAGGAGGTGTTGTTGACACAGACATCAACAAGAAGGCAGCCTCATGCTGCTGTGTTGATATTACCCCATCGACACGTCTGTCGAGAATACTGTGGAATCATGCAGGCATGTGCTGCAAAACACTCTGAACCAAGTGTTGCTTTGGCAATACTATTTACCTATTTCTTCCTATGGATTATTAACAGGGGTCTTCGTGTTTGAATGGGCCCGATTCAAACGTTTTGATTTATGACATTTTATTATGATTTTTAACTCGAAACCTACTGCACCAGAATCACTGAGGTGTAAATGAAATTGAATACATGACTGACACCTACATACAACATGGAAAGGCATTTGAAACCAGGAAAAGGAGGCGTTTCTTTACACGGGGTGCTGAAGGACTATGAAACTAGTAAGCCATGTTTTTGTATCCAGTTCCCTGGATTCTTTCAAGAAACAGCTGAATGAGATATTTGGATCAATTAGATGCCAACAACCAAACAACCTCTATAGGCCTAATGGGCTCCTCTTGGTGCCTTGGTGTTTCTTGGTCTTCCTTGGTCAAGGGCTAAGGACCCTCTGACAACTGTCAGGACAGTGGGACAGGAGGCAAATTTGTGCCAGGGATGTCATCATTGGAAGGTCAACCAGCAGTATGGGAGATACATAGTGAGAACGATTCTCTGAACAGAAGGAACTGCACTGTAGCCTGTGCAAATCTATACAGTACATAAAGTCTTTTTTTTTTTACTTTCTGCCCATTGATTGATAGAGGCAGCAGTTCAAAAGATTCATGATAAATTCTCAGCAAAGCATTGAGCAAACAGGCAGCTGGAAATTCTGAAAAATCTTTATTTTCTTTCATTACTTTTTCTTTTTTCTTTTAGATTGATAAAGAATCAGATTCTTTTTTCAGCAGCAACTCATTCATTCATGGCTTCTAACGCATATCTTCTTCATTGAGATGCAGGTCCTTTTCCACTGTCTGTGACCCTGAATCAATGGTCTGCAGTTTCCCTGCTTAGATGGGGGGGGGGGGGAGTATATTAATTTCAATTTTAAAAGAAATGTCACTCCAACGGAAAGGCTCAAGGAAAATATCAAGGACAGTGCACCACAATGGACTGCTTTACACTTAAAAAAACATTCTCAAAGAAGGCCAAGTGAACCTTAACAATGAACAAGCACTGTTGGTCAGACTCAGATGCTCACCGACGTCTTCAGGAGACAGACACATTTTATTCAAGGTGACTTGTGTGTGCCTTTAGGGTGATGATTCAGATGACAGAATCCAGAGAAACAGACCAAGAAACTGCAGTTTGTTTTATTAGTTTGCCAGGCAGTTACTCTACAGCGGGGTTCCAAGTGTCCCTTCTCACCATTCCCTACAAATGTGTCTCAAGTGCTACGGGCTTCTTCAGCTCTGAGCCTCTGTTTCAGGCTTTGTGGTTTCCGGTCCCACGCAGGATTTTTTTTTTTAATTGAGTGACATTTTCGATTGCACCAGTCCCACATCTCCTGTTCCAGCGCAACCTGTGGGTTTCTGAACTGTTCAACGAATAGGTCAAGGTGAGGAACCTACACCAGGGTCATTAACAAAAAAAGGAAGAGAGCAAATTCTCAATCCTTCTCCAGTACATTTTGAATGCACACACGTAGAGTACAATGAAATTGTGTCTCTGTGCCTTGATGTTAGAATTTTTGCAGCCACCTTCCACTTCAAACACGAAAAGGGAGTGTAATGACATACGGTGATCTTTTTTTAGAACATTTCTTCTGTGAAATAAATATTTGAATTTTCCTTTTGAAAACGATGGGTGCAATTGGACTATGCTCATGAATCACTGACCTTTTCCCAGGCAGTTGAGATGTACAGGTGAAGGTGTTGACCGTACCCAGGGTGTTTCTTGAAAAGAGTAGGGGTGTAACCCTGGTGTCCTGGCCAAATTTCCCATTGGCCCTTACCAATCATGGCCTCCTAATAATCCCCATCTCTGAACTGGCTTCATCACTCCGCTCTCCTCCCCACTGAGAGCTGATGTGTGGTGAGTGTTCTGGCGCACTATGGCTGCCGTCGCATCATCCAGGTGGGGCTGCACAATGGTGGTGGTGGAGGGGAGTCCCCATTACCTGTAAAGCGCTTTGAGTGGAGTGTCCAGAAAAGCGCTATTTAAGTGCTATATTGGCTATAAAAGCGGCAGGTTAAGGTAAAATCCTCTTCCTTACTTAAATTATTCTTCACTTAAATTGTGACCACTTAGGCTCCAATTTAGACATCTTTCTCCCCAATCAATCTACTACATTACAAAAGTCACGATTTCAAAATGTCGTCTGCCTTTTATGCGAGACTGACATTTCGGAGCAATTAAGGAAATTGTGTAGAGCGGGATCACGCGCAGGTAGGGAATTTTCTTTAAAAATAGCTCAGCCCTTTCCCTTTCCTTCCGATATCCACACCCGGAGGCGACATCTGTCCACTGCCGGGGCTCAAGCGTGCCGGCAGCTCTCCTCTCTGTACCGCTGAGTGACGTAGCGCAGTTTCCGGATGGCGAGCTCGGTGTCCTCCCGGCTGACGCCCAGGTGCCACACGGCCCGTACCGAGCGCCCCACGTGGGGGAACATCAGCACGCGTACCGCCTGGCCCAGAGACTCCGCCTCCTCGCCGCAGGCCTCTCCCATCCGCTGGCAGAACTCCTCCGGGGTCAGGCCGGGGTCACAGAGGCGGAAGCGGACGATGTTGGTCTCCACAGCCCTGAGGTCCAGCTGGTACAGGGAAGGGTCGCTCTGCAGTAAGGCTGGGGACAATGGGGATGAGGATGGATCATTCTTTTACCACTCCGGACTGTCAGATAAGACAAACCGCGGATAGTTGTCCTGTCACTAACGCTACACTTACCCACTGTCCTTTGCACTCTCACGTTTACGTTTTAAAACATCTAGGAATCCAGACCCTGGCTTGTAAAGGTTCAATTTTCTGTCTTGCCACTTGTTTTATTGTTGATAAAGTCTAAGTGTGCTTTGAATACTGATTCAAAATGATTTTTTTTCTTCAGCCTTCGTGGAAGAAAGTGTTTGTTAAAGGAAAAAGCAGATGTGAAACAGTTGTGAGTACTCTCCAGTGTGGTTTCCTGAACTTGTTCCCCCTCCCCCGTGTGCTCCAGCTCTCCCGGCTACCAGAACGCACCTCTGGCAAAGGCCTTGGCATTGCAGTGGTCCTCCTCCAGCCTGGCCACCATGTCCGTCAGGGCAATGATGCCAGCTGCTGCCAGGATGCCCGCCTGTCTCATCCCTCCGCCCAGCACCTTGCGGGCACGCACCGCTCTCTGCACAAACTCACTGCGCCCGCCCAGCAGGCTGCCGGCTGGCGCCCCGAGCCCCTGACGATGACAGAGCGTCAGCACAGACACAGGCAGACCGTGGCAACAGACTTTCACCGGGACGCCTGCATGCAGGCAGGAGATTGATTGCATCACTCCAACAGTCCACTCACTCGAACATCTTTAATGCCTGCTTTGCTTTAACACATCTTTTCTGTGCTACTCATTGTACCTTTCTGTTGTCCTTTTCCAAGAATAATGTTCACCATCCTCTTATACCATTGAATTCTTTTTGTGACAATGCACCTTTATTTTACTCGAAAACCATGAGAGGTTCCTGTTACCTTCTGCAAATGGCAATTCAGTGCATAAGGAAAGGATTCTGCATCTCAGCACGGACCTCCCTGTACGTTAGCCCTAGTTGTTCTGATGCTGCCGTCTCCCTGTGCTGCGCTGGGTATCGGGGCCACGTTACCTTGGACAGGCACACGCTCACAGAGTGGCAGTGCCGCAGGATGTGGGCAGGGCGGACGCCCAGCGCCACGGCCGCGTTCATCAGCCTCGCTCCGTCCATGTGCACGGCCAAGCGGTAGCGGTCAGCCAGCAGGCGCAGCTATGGGGGTCAAAGACAGAAGAGCACGCAGACCTCAGGCCGGGAGAGTCAGGGCGGCCTGCTCTTGAGCAGCACGCCGGTGTGTGCGTCTCTTACAACACGGCATCATCAAGTGAGCTCTGCTCTTCTGTGCACGAGGAAACGTGTGCCTTTGGAATATGCGCTGCTCATGAAACAAGTGCCTCCTAAAAAAAATACCAGACTTCGCTCTTATCGTGTCTATGTTTATCCCAGCTGCTCTTTCCCTACTGCACAACATGTTTGCTACATCTGTTAAAGCAAAGCCAAACAGATCTTACGGGGGAAACATTTTTCAGTAAGTGAATTTTCTGGAGAGGAAGCTTTCAGACGAGGCACGTGCAGCAGCTGAGATCTGACATGCGGCAAGGTTCAGTCTGAGTTAATTCATTGTGATAAACATCTATTCAGCCCTGCGTTCTTAATACTCCTCCTCCCAGGTTACTGGCCTCCAGACTTGCTCAGTTTATCACATCCAAAAAAAACTCCCCCTTGAAAGTATAGAATCAACATGGCCTTACAGACTCAGCTAAGACTTCATTTGCTGTAAGATATGATTCTCCCCTTCCCAGACAGGGGAACATCACGGTCAAGGCAAGGTCAGCGAGGAAAGCTGCAGACACAGTTTGCTTGGCTGACCCCCCTGGGTCTCACCTCTTGAAGGAAGGAGAGAGGCAGGACGCACCCCCCACAGATGTTGTGCGTGTTCTCGACGCAGACCAGACGAGAACGGGGGTAATGTGCATCAGGGTAGCCGTGCCTGATCTTGGATTCCATCTCTTCCAGGTCAAAGGTCCCGTCAGGGAGGTTGGAAACAGTAGTGGAGTGAACGCCTGCACACTGCGAGCGGAGCAGAAGTCAGGAGAGGAGGCAGCAGGGAGGAGATTAAAGAAGAGGAGAGGTGAACACTAGCAGACATGCTGAGGTGATCGACACAGTCCCGCTATCCCAGAATGCTTTAGACAGATCATGTTTTTTCTTCTTCATGGTCATTAATTTAGGACTTGTCCCTCTAAATCAAATCATAATTGATGGCATTCAGCATTTAAACTGTTTTTGGTAAAATAAATATTTTGCTGGGTGAAACACTAAGATACCTTGATAAAAGTTGTTTTTTTTCCCCCATTTTTCTGAAATGCAATCTTCTTGTTATTTTTTGAAAAATAAACACCTTCATAAATCGACGGCAGCGCTAATCAGAGGGGCGCTGGAGCATGATTTCTGCTGGGCGGAAACGAGATGCACAGGGGTGCGGATTTGATTGCGAGGCAACACAGAAGAGGTGAAAATTGAGCTTCGGCAATTAACGTATTTTGGAGTGCTTCTTAAAATAATGAGCTGCGAGGCTGGAGGGAGAGTGTGAAAACTCAAAGCACGCTGTGCACTGTTTATTTATAGGACTGCGCAGGTTAACAAAAAATAATTTCCTGTCTTCTACAATTCGGTTAGAAAGTTGGATTAAAAATACTGTAAACTGAAAGAAATTATGGTACAATAAATGTAAAAAACAATACCATGTTTTTTACCCTAAACAATACCATGGTGTATTTTTAACATGACTACTGGCTACATTACCATTCAGTCTGCATCACCCTGAAGCTACAGCTGAGCCAGTGAGCCTGGGCAAACAGACACTGTCAATCAGGGCTGACACCTGTAGTTATGGATGCCCCTAAACTGTCTGATGGGCTGCCCCCTCCTCTCCCACCTCACACCAGGACACGTGGCAGGGGTGTGAAGGGTCAGATGTCACATACTGTACCTGTGCGCTGCCCCCTTGCTCGTAGACGTGCAGGTGTGACTGATCCCCCACGATGATCTCATCGCCTCTCTCCGAGCAGTGCACCATGACTTGAAGGAGATATAAGCACGCACACACAGTCATGCACACACAGGCACACGGCAGCACAGTACCGATGCAGGACATCTGTTAGCAAAACAAACCTGCTTTGTTTATTACGCCGTGAATCGAGAGAGAAACTGCAAGCACAATAAATCACACAGGCAGATGCGGGTTCGAGTTTCAGTTTCACCTGCGATGAGATTGCTCATGGTTCCAGTGGGGACAAACAGAGCTGCCTCCATCCCAAACACATCAGCTGCCCTTTTCTGCAGTTCTGGGGAAACACATAACACACAAGTCCTGATGCTCACATAAATACTCGTGCAAGGGCCTATGATCGCTCGCAGATCATGATTCACTCTTTAATAGCTACTGCCACGCCTGTGCAAGACACTACGCCCTGTTGTGTTTGTGCCAGCTTTAATTTGTATTTGGGGGTCTGATTTAGTATGATATATTTCATATTCTCTTTATATTGATAATTCTCATTTTTCCTCATTTTAATACAAAAGACTGCAGATTCTGACAGATGTTTTAAGCTTAGTATTAATCCCTAATTGTTCTATAATGTTCTATTATATTACTACCAATATTAAGTTAAGAATAAGAATACGAATTTGCCCGTTATGACAAATCCCTTTTAATCCATATTTTGTTATTTGCTCACTGTTTAGAATTTGTAAAGCACTTCCAAAGTGATTTGGAAAGAGGAGGGCACCCAGCCCATCCCCCCCAAGACTGCACCACCACCTGGGTGACCCTCAGCAATCATTCAGAACCATTAACTTCAATACACAGCAGATCAGGGAAAGAAGCGAGACACTGCTTCCCCAGTTCAATTAAGGGGAACTGGGGTTTGGCCACACTGCTCAAACCCTGAGTGGAACTGAGCTGGCACCCAGGGATCAACACCCCTACTCATACGGACAGGGGTTTGGGTTAATTAATGACCACGAATAAGGACTTCTGTTTAAAATCTTTTCCCCGGGGCTGCAGCGCCTACACTTCAGTATCACCATACTGGGGCGCTGGTTAGGAAGTTCAAGGCCAGAAGACAAAGCGCCACCTACTGGTCGGACAACAACAGGCAGTAATGCAGTTTTCCTCAGGCTTCCCATTCCAGTATTGAGCAGGCTCAGCCTTGCAGGGCCTGTGAGAGCTAACAAGATCAGGCTACAAGGCAGGAAAGCTGTTGACATTTTAATTAATCATCTGTAGACCACAGCCTGCCCGTTTCTAACTTTTCTAAGAAGAAAAGGCTTTTTTTTTTTGCCTGAACCAGCTTATGAGTCATATTTCATTTCAGATCCCCAGCTGGTCATTACCAAGTTTCTATTTTCTTGTTCACAGGGTACTTCTCTACAGGGGAAGTTCTACAGTGCGCAATTAAGCTGCTTGGAGGTTTAAGCGTTTGATTGTGACATTTGTCCGCTTCTGCCCTCTACTGGAGACAAGTGAGGCAATTTCTAAGCCTAAGCAACATTATAGGCAACAATCTGGCCAGAAACCACATCTCACAAAGAAACTTAGTCCAAAGTAGACCATTTAGAGCAGCTGAGTTATAACAGTTGTAATATTAATTCCTTACACCTATAAAGCGCTTTTCCTGGAATCTCCACTCAAAGTGCTTTATAGGTAGTGGGGACTCCCCTCCACCACCAGTATGCAGCCCCACCTGGATGTGTACCAGTGCGCTCAGCACACACCAGCTCTCCCAGTGGGGAGGAGAACAGAGTGATGAAGCCAATTCACAGAGGGGATTATTAGGAGGCCATGATTGGTAAAGGACAGGGGAAACGTTGGCCAGGACATCAGGGTAACACCCTTACACTTTTCGAGAAACACCCTAGGATTTTTAATGACAGCAGTCAGGACCTTGGGTTTATGTTTCACCCCATTACTATACTGGGGCATTAGGACCCACACAGACCACAGGGTGAGCGCCCCCTGCTGGCCCCACTAACACCTCTTCCAGCAGAAGCCTTTGCTTTCCCAGGAGCCTCTCCTCCAGGTACTGGCCAGGCTCACACCTGCTGAGCTTCAGTGGGCTGCTAGCTGTGAGTTGCAGGGTGATATGGCTACCGTTCTCCACTGCTAATTGATGATGTAATTGGTATTATTGCCTGATTAGACTTTGTTTAACTTGTTTCTTTGGTCTGTCCTGAGTGTTTAAATACCCCAGGGGGAACAAGTGTGTTTCTACAGAACCGGGATGGTGACTATTGTGACCCTGTAAGTTTACATAATTACCCCACTCTTCAAAAATGACTTTCGAGGTCTCTGGGTTTTGTGGGCTAAGACGTTTTTCACTGGAAGTGACATTTCAGTTATCCAAACCAAACGGCCACTTTTGTGTCGTTCGACACACTGGAAAAACCCGCCTGCTTTAATAACTATCTTATATATTCTGAGCGTGCGAGGAGGAGGGGGGGCATTTCTCTCACCGTTAACAGTCGGATCCTCCCCAAAAACATCGTCCCCGACCTCGGCTTCAGCCATGGCCCGGCGCATCGCAGGTCCGGGTTTGGTAACGGTGTCGCTGCGGAGGTCTACAGTCCGAACTGGAAACGAGCCTGGGTGTATCCGATCTGCACCTTGAGTTTGCTCATAGTAGTATCTGACTGAAGTGCCCCTTGCAGCACCGCCGTGCACAGACCACTGTTTCACAGAACCGCCGCTAATAATATTCGCTCGACGGGTCCTGCAATGCAGCAGTCTGCGCGCTGAGAAGGTTAGAGGTTTTAAATTCATGTTTCTTTGTTTGAATAAAGAGGATAAAGGCGCCTCGGCTGTTTTTGCTTCTCTCGAAAAATGAACTTTGGCTCATTGCAATTGCGATCACAGGACGCTGTAGGGAGTCATGTTTAAGGCAAGTGTAGTCGAACGGGCGCCGTCGATGGGTCGTGGGATCGGGGTTTTTTTTGTGCAATTTTGCAATTTGAACGCGAACGTGTATTGTACTGTGTATAGTAAGCTTATTTGGCATGTGATATTAATACGGTGAAACTGGTTTAGGAAGTAAAACCGATTTAGAGTCTCATTTTAAAACTTATCGTCCGACAACAGAAAATAGACGCGGTTAAACTGTTAAGACAACTGCTTGCAGCCTGTCAGCTACTTTACAAGGTATTACTGTACTTCGTTCATGTGGGCTGCCAGTTGTTTATCGTTTTGTATTTCTAATCTAAATACCTCACAAATCTATCCGCATAAATGATGGAAGGTACCGTAGGATTACTTTTAAAAAGTGGAAAGTACTGTACTTCTCTACACATTTCATTATCCGCAAGTGAAGGCGTTGCAAGGAGAAAATCACGGATATTGATTGATAAGATTATTCATGGTTTTGTGCAGGATTTCACTGGGAACACGCACCAGTCCTGACCAGCAGGGGAGTGTGATGTCAACCCAGCACAAGAATACACCCGTTTGAATTGAGGTGAGTGGAACCCCTGCTCTAGGCACAGCGCCCCCTGCTGGACCAGGACGGGGGAGCCCTGCTGTCGACACAGCGCCCCCTGCTGGACCAGGACGGGGGAGCCCTGCTGTCGACACAG